CACTGCGTCTCCCAGCTCAGGCCCATCACTCACAGATGTGAATGGACCCCTCCTTCAGGGCCGAGATATCCTCAGTCACCGAGTCCCACCACCCTCACCTGACCTACCACTGGCACTCACTCAGCACTGACTCTGTGCTGGAGACCACGCTGCACACTGTGCACACGTTATCTCACTGGATCTCCACAGCAGTCCTGGGAAGTCGGTACATCACTGCTTCAATTGATTAGATAAATTGTTTCACTTCCTTGAGTGCGTGATCCAAAGTGACACGGCTACTGAGCCACAAGCCTGGGACTGAAAACCACTTGAAAATTGAACACTGCTACACCTCGCAGCCATCCTACTCTGACTCATCACATCACCTCCTGCCAAGCCTTCTAAATGTTTCCAAGCATTCTGCAAGACAGAAGTGATCTACGAGAGCACCCCACTCCCCTACTTAAAATCTGTCAATGACGGTCCACTGCCCTTTGGAGAAAGCCCCACCGGGCCTGAGCACAGCCCAATGGCCCGGCATCCGCGTTCCCTGCGCGGCCGCACCGCCTCACCCACCACGCAGCTCTACACGTGCCGTGTCCAGGACAAGGATGCTGACTCCGTACAACTCGGGGCTTGTCTCACTCGAACAATCATCACCTTCTTCAGTGTTCAACTTCTTCATTGCTGACTCTTAGAAAAATGTTTTCTTAGGATGAATCGATATCTTTTTCCTTACAACTTCCCATCATTGATAATGAGCTCCCCACAAAAGACAGAAGAAATAATTCTCAGTCTCCTTATCTGTAAAGTGAGAATAACAAGGAAATATGTGAGGTTTTAAGAGAAATAATATTCATGTGAGGCTGAGGGACAATTCCATCATACAGTAAGCACTCAATATGTGCTTAATTAATATTAATAAGAATATATTGCATTCCAGCAACTTTCAATCAATGTTTTATGACTTTGTCCAACAGACTACTGACAAACAGTTGGACGAACCCCTTTGAACAGATCAGCACAGGCGTACTGGGAGAGGCAAGCGTAGACTCAATTTACAGC